CCAGGCCTGCTGAGGTGCCCCTGCCCTGGCAGGGGGAGGGAGCATCTCCGCCCGATCCCTTCACTTGGCTCTTTGCTCTGCAGGAAGAAGAGATCCGAGAGTTTGTGAGGCAGGAGATGAGTCAGCACTGTGGTAAGTCGGGCCCAGGGGCCCTACACTCCTCCCTTCCCCTCTTGCCCCTCCCCTGTCCTGCCGCCCCCACTACTGGGGCAGTAGCATGGGCCAGGATGCCTGTCCTTAGCATGTGTGTGCTGCACCCTGCAGTCCTGCCAGCTTGGCCCTGGGGATCCCCAGCTAGTGACAGCCTCTGTCCAATTGCCAGCTGCCCAAAGGGGTTTTCCCAGCCATTAACCTTGCCTCTCTCTCCCTGCAGCCTGCAGCGGCCGTTACCCCTCTTCTGGATCACGTAAGTATCGCATCTTTGGCTTTCTTCCCCCTATGGTCCCAGCTCACAGCAGAAAACTTGTTCTTGCCAAGCAGGTCCCTCTCCCAGATATGCAGCAGGCTTCATGAAGGCAGGGTGCAGGTCCACGCAGCTGGCTTGGCATTTATTCGCTCTCAGGGCCAGGGAGCTGCTGCCTTGTGGAGATCCTGGCTTGGTGATGAGTCCTAGGAGACTTGGAGAGAGAGCGTGTAGAGGGTGCTGTGTTGGCAGGGGAACTGTCTCTGGGAGTTACTGACCATGCCAGGACCTGGAGGGCATGGAGCAGGCAGGGTAGGACAATGGCAGGAGCTGAGGCTGCCATAGAGGTAGCAGGTGTCTGGAGGCCTTCTGGGGGCTGTTTGAAATGCTCCAGACAGATTTTCCAACAAGGCCTGAATGCTGTCTGCACAGCAGGACATCAAGACAAGTGCATGGTGGGAGCCAGGGGGGATCAACCAAAGACACCCCAAAGACACCCCAAAGACTCTCAGCACTGTGGAGTAAATCCCCGTCAGCCAGGAGGGCTGCAGACCTGTTCACCTGGGGGTCCTGTTGCATGGGTTTTGCTGGGGATGGTCTATAACCGAGCATCTGACCAGCAAAAGAGCCCTGCCCTGGGCATGCCTGACCTGAGACAGGCATCTGGGATGGTGTGGCAGAGACAGCCACAGCAGTGGCCTCTTCCCTGAACCCAGTACCCTAGGCAACTCACAAGTGGCGTCATCCCCTTCTCTTTTCCCACTGGCTTTTCATGGATTCCTGAGTAGGGAGAGTAAGTAGGGACATATGCTTACGGGACCATGGGACTCAGGGGGACAGGGCTTTATTGCATGTTGGCTGCCTCACAGTATCTCCCCACATGCGTGCTCCCACCCCATGCTAAGTGGAAGCCTTCTCAGGTAGTCAGGACCCCATCAAGTGGGCAAAGCCATTGCAATTCATCTTCCAGTTTCCATGGGGTAAGCGTGTGCACGGAGGGACTGAGGCCAGGTAAATCCCCACTCTCTCATAGCCAGCAGCAAATCGTTCATGTGTCCATACCTTTAGTACTGGGTAGCTTTGCATGGAGGAGCCTGTCTTGATAGCAAGGCACTGAGTACATTGCAACAGGCTGTAGGAGAAGGCTGATCCTGCAAACCAGGACTGCTGTAGGAAATGCAAGGGGATAGGAGCTCATGGGCCATGGAGGGAAGGTGGAACAAGGAGGTGAAACCTGAAGGAGACTTTCCAGGGCCAGGTCTGGTACAAGTTGGTGCAGGCAGAGAAAGCTCAGAGGGGAAGGTAAGAGTTGGCAAAGGGAGAAAAGGGGGAGCTGGAAAGTAAGGGTTCACAGTTGGTTTCCAGGGAGAGGAAAGGAAATGGGAGCTGCTGTTTGTAGGGAAGAGGAGGCCGGCAGAGAGCACAGCCAAGCTGGTAGTGCTCCGCAGACTATGACATGAATTATTTGCCTGATTGCTCTCCAAGGCGGCTGGGGGACACATGCAAGGAACAGACATAAATGTTCCAGCAGAGGAAGAAGAGATCCCAGAGCTGCTCAGCATCACAGCAGACCAGGTGATGGAGAAATTGGAGCATCTACCAAACTGCTCACATGCAGGCCTGCAGGCAGGCAGGCAGCAGTCAGGCCCATGTGGCTGGAGAGAGACGCTCCCAGTAGAAGGCACCAGACAGTTTGCAGTCACAGGCTGGACCAGCCTCAGGCAGTGCAGAGCTCAGAGGGGTCAGGGCCTCGGCATGTGTGTGGTAGCCTTGTCTCGTTGTGTAGCACCTGTGACCATGATGTGCCTCCTCCAGACTTGTTGGGTGACCCTGCTTCGTATCTGGGAAGACATGAAGACCTGAAGACCTTTGCCACACTTGTCTGTCTCCTGTCATGCATCATTTCCCCTCCCCCCCTGCTGTTTTAATAGCCTCATTGCATGTGTAGTTGTGAAGCTTTAACCCACCAATGTGTGTCTGATGTTCAAGCAGTGTTCAAGAGCAAGTGCATGCTCTAGCCAGCAGTCTGCAACCCTGGATGTGGGGTAGGGGGCGGTTAGGGAGTATGGGGTCTGGAAGGGATGAATTTTCCTTGGTGTGTCCAAGGGTCATCCCATGCTGGGATCTTCAGAAGCTCTTGGAGAAGTGAATGGATTTGCTGCATAGCCCCGTATCCCAGGAGGCCCTGCCTGGCAACAGGCAGGAGGAAGTGGCTTTGCAGATCATGCCATAGGATGGGGCTTCCCAGCGGCGGGAATCAAAAAGGATCTTGTACCTTGGACCTTTGTACAGTGCTTATCTCATTATCAGCCATTGTCCCCCTTTGGTTGCCAGCACCCTGTTCCCTTTGCGCTGTCTCTGGCTTGCTCTTAGCAAATGGGGCAGGGGTGGATGATGCTGATGCTGCTCTTGAGCCCTGGCCTGTGGTATGTCTGTCTTGTGTACTGGAGCTGGCAGGAACTGTGTTAGTCATTCTCATGTCCGGTGTGATGTCCTGTCCTTGTCCCTCTCAGGTCCTCTTCCCAACTATCCATCCACCCAACCATTCTCGTCTGTTAAGGCTCAACTAGTGCCCGTGCTTAAGTTGTCCCACGCTGAAGAGGAGGGTGAGTCTCATCTCTGTGCTGTGTTATCATGTACTTTCTCTGGTGTTATCTGTGCCAGTCCTGCCTAGAAGCTGTGCCATGACAGTGCCCTTCACTTGCAGGTACCATGCAGCCTTAGTGCCCCCCCCAGCACAGTAGCTCTGGTAACAGGCACTGTGAATGCTTGCTACTATTTTGTTGCTAAGATCTATCTTGGTACCGGACATTATATTAAGACTTTGCCACAGACATTGGGGCAGAAAAGATAGAGAAGTCTCCGCCATGACATCAGTCCCCATCCCCATGTAAGGCCAGGCTGGATAGAGGGAAGGGGTATGAGTATGGGCGTGTGGAAGCAAAGGGTTGTGGATGGTATAACAGCCATGCTGCGCTTGCCACTAAGAGCTGTCCATAAGTAAACTGAGTGCCTCTACTGCATTAAAACAGGCACAGTGCTCCTGAGAGGAGCTGTAGGGCCCAAAGAGTGACCCATGTGATGTGACTGGGCAGCATCTCTCTAGCTTGGCTTTCTCTGGCCAAGGAAGCCATGGCCTCAGCTGGGCATCTCAGGGACATGCTGCTAAGGCCTGTTGAATCTGGCATTTCCATCAGCCCCTCCCAGAAGCGGAGACTAAGATCAGTTATCTTTCCAGGAAGGGTGAGGCAGAAATTTGCACATGGTCTCAGCTACCAGCACAAAGTCCTTGGCCGTTGCTCCATCCCACCCTGCCTGGTCCTTCTGGAGAGTGTTGCTGACATGGCCGGGATTGTTTTCTAGGGCAGGAGACGCGAATTGTGGTGGATTCTGATGACCCAGAGTATGAGCAGATGTACATCGAGGACTATGGAGAGGATGTGGATGCTGAGGGGACAGAGCATCCCATGCTGAGCGATGGTGAGCTCTGTGTGTTTGTTTGTGTGTATGTGTGTGTGAGCTGTGTGTGTGTGTGAGAGTGAGGGAGAGAGAAGCCTAGGTCTCTTCCTTTCTAACCTTCTGGTTCTTTGGAGCAGGCAAGGTCAGTCTGGATGGTTCCTTCTAGTAAAGCACTCTGCAGCGAGGCTAGCTGGCAGAGATGGGCAAACAAATCACAGAGGCTTTTGCCCCTCAGTCACTCATTCCAGTCTGGCTGATCGGTTTTGTCAGGCTGTTGTGAAACGAGTGTGTGCATCTCTGCTGAGTTCTCAGTGGACCAGCATCCACATCCCATGAACCTACCCCCACGCCAATGGGCACAGATTTCTCTGCCCTGAAGAGCATTAATGAAGCTCCCTAACGCTCTCTGCTGGAGGGAAGCAGGACATCAAGCAACATGGATCTACATCCTGGTCTCTTCCCTCTCAGCCCCCAGGGCCCTGCCCAAGTAAGTCTGCTCATTGTTTCCTTTCTCCCAGCTGACCCGTGCAGCTTGCCCTTGGATGAGGGAACCTGCAGCCGATTCACACTGCGGTGGTACTACAACCAAAGAGTGGCTGAGTGCCGCCCCTTCATCTACAGTGGTTGCGGCGGGAACCTCAACCGCTTCTATGCCAAGGAGGACTGTGATCGTCAGTGCAGGCACCATGTGGACACAGGTAGGAGGGCCCAGCAGGGCAGCCATGGGCTGTTTCTGCTCTGATGCTGATAGGCCCAGGATGTCAAATGTCCTGTCCATACAGAGCATGGATGAAAGCAGGGCCAAACTAGATCTGTGGTTCTCCACCGGGGGCCGTGAGAACCTGCCTGGGATACCGTGACAGTGACACCATGGCACGGCCATGCACCTGTTTGCAGGAGTCCTGTCAAAGCTAAACAGAAAAGTGGCTGTAGCAGAAACGTGTGTACCTCCCTGCATTGCATTTGACTCTGACGCACCTCCTGGTAACTGAGACACACGGCACAGCTTCACTGCCATAGCACCCCCTTGGCTGGCCCCCTCCCACCTCCTGGTCCTTTTGCCCACCCCATGTCCCTCCCAGCCCCTCAGCACTCCCCAGTGCTAGGTATACATCCCGGCACTTAGTCTCAGCCAGCTGGGCATCCTGAACTCTGTTCCTTAGCTAGGGTAGCTGGTGTAGCTAAGGGAAGACCTTGGCCCAGTGGTTTCCGGTTCCCACAAACGAGCTGGAGCCATGGTGGGGAGTTCCATAAGAACATAGGAAGCCATTTACTGGGTCAGATCCAGTCAACTGTGTCATGCAGTGGCAGAGAGCGAAAGCTGGAAGGGAGAATGAACTGGGGTGACCAGGGTTTTTTCCACTGTTGCTTTCTCATTTGCAGCCTCCTGCATTTAAGGTCCAGGAAGTTCTGATCCAGAGGCTGTACCCCTCACTCTCATACTCAATAGCTACTGAACCCCTTTCCTCCTAGAATGTGTTCAGTCCCTTTTTTTAATGTGGCTAAAATGTCAGCGTTCACGGCCTCTTGTGGCAATGGGTTCCACACTTCAGTGACACGTTAGGTGAAAAAGAACTTCCTGGTGTTGAACTTACTACCTAGTAGCTTCATTTTGTGGCCCTTAGTTCCCTGCTGCACTAGTAGCAAGCATGTGGTGGGCCAGGCAGAGCTAAGGGAGCACTCCGCTCCCTGCGAACAGCCTGAGGGGATGAATATAATACAACTACAATTATATAATCAATAAGTTATTAGTTACAAAAAGGATTATAATGCTTACATTATAATATTCCTGCTATGCTTCATTTCGCTTTTTAAATGAGGTGCTGCTAAATTCTGAACAATTTTTGGTGGGGGGCCTTGAGTGTAAAAGGGTTGAGAGCCATTGCTCAAGTCACTGGGAACAGGGATCAGGGCAGAGGGATCCTCCTTCCAGCCCTCTGCTTTCCTCACCACCTCCTCTCTCT